TGTTGTGCATGCACAAGCCCGGCAACAACTTAAGCGAAGTGTTCGGAGGCACTCCCATCAAGAAACACCAGAATTATCCTGAGGAAAAGGGAACACACAGGTAGCCCTGGACTTAAAAATCGCAATCGAACCCAAAATCTCTGTAGCTGAGCGAGACAATTGTTAAGTAAACCTCGCCCCATTTTACGACTTTTTGGGGGCCACCGTTGTTAAGTGAATCACTGCCGTTGGTAAAAGTTAGTCACATGGTTGTTAAGTGAATCTGGCTCCCCCATTGACTGCTCGTCAAGAGGTGATCACGTGACTCCGGGAGACTGCAACCTTCACAAATATGAACCGGTTGTCAAGTATCTGAGTTCTGATCATGTGATCATGCAATAGTCATAAGTGTGAAAAACCGTCCTAAGTCACTTTTTTTTTTCAGTGCCATTGTAACAAGTCACTACTAAATGAACTGTTGTAAGTCAAGGACTGCCTGTATTCTCCCCCCAGTTCCGACAATGTTTCTTCAAATCCAGTACGTTGACCCCCTAGTTTGCTCAACCCATTCTCATCCTGACGGCATTATGCCCAAGACCTGGCTGAAAACTTCCTGGGCCCATCAGACCAGTGGCAATTGTTGCTACTTTTCCAGTGTATTTAATGGCTTTTATTTTATCATCATCTTTCAACGACCCCATAATCCCTTGCGGGATGGAGCCTGGGCAACTGAATGGAGCTAGCAGAGTGTTTTATTGGCTGGATGCCCTTCCTGTCTCCAATGCAGGGTTTTGTTCAGCAGGTATATTCTCAATGTGCCCAGAGAGAGAGAAATAGCAGCCTCTACCTAGGATCTAACTCACAGCCTGCTGATTGTGAGGCAAGAGCTCCACCTCTAGGCCACCACAACACTCGGGTGGGATTCAAAATTTTTAACAACCGGTTCTGTGGGTGTGGCTTAGGTGGTGGGCATGGCTTGGTGGTCATGTGACTGGGTGGACATGGCTTGGTGGTCATGTTATTGGCTGGGTGTGGCCAACTCAATATCACTCACATCGAGGCACGCATCTCATCGCCTGGCCTCTCATGACTGTGGGGATGCTGCAACAGTCGTAAGTGTGAAAAATGGTCATAAGTCACTTTTTTCAGTGCCATTGTAACTTTGAATGGTCACTCCACACAAGCAAAGTACCAGCAAAGGAAGGGGAAAAAAAACTCCAGAGAAGTTTCAGAGACAGGAAGTCTAGTCCTGCCAAGAATGTCATAAGGGTTAGCGGAGAGGCAGTTTCTGTAAGCAACACCAGAATGTTTCCTTCCTGCCTTCCTTACAGGATTAGGCCAGTAATTTCTTCTAACAACCGGTTCTCCAAACTGCTTAGAGAATGTTAACAACTGGTTCTAGCGAATAGATGCGAACCTGTAGAATCCCACCCCTGACACCACTCCTAACGCTTTTATGATATGGTCCTCTTAAAGTAAGGCAGTTAGATGGCCACCCTTCAGGCCTTGGAAAGCAGAAATGGCCCAGAAGCTACCAGCCAGGTCTCCCCCAAGGTAACTTTTTTTTTTTTTTCATTCCACAGGCACGGAAGCACCTGCAAAATTTTGAAGCGACACACTGCACTCCACTTCCACCCCAAGAGTTTCATCTCCCATGGAGCTTATAGCATCCTCCACCACCGTCACCGTCTCCCATTCTCCTCCTGCAGTCACGTCTTCTGATCTCCTACCTCCACCTTTCTTGCCCGTGCGCATATACGTGAACGGCCATCACTCCCACCCCCCCGCCATGCAGTGAATCCCCCTCTCCCCCCCCCCCTGTAATATTGATCCTCTGACCACCAACCCTCACATCTTGTCGTAAGGGTTCACAATAAAGATGGTATTTTTTATACTTCTTGACTCTCTGGTCTCAGGAGCTGCTGGCCTTGTCTGGCGTTGGGAGCTAAGCGGATTTGGTCTGGGTTGGAAACTGGATGGGAGAACAGCAAGATATTTCAGGGCTGGAACTTAGGCTGGGGAAAAGGGGGGGGGGGCAATGGGATACCACTTCCTTGATGTTTCCAAGGAGACAGCATGCAAGTATCCCGTCCTCTCTAGGAATCCAGTCAGCCATAGGACGTCTTCACTGCCTCTTCACAGATATACTGTATATTGGGAAAGCAATAACCTTCAGATGGATAGGAGCCGAATAAAATGGACTTCCATGCTGTGTGGTTCTCCTGTCACTGGGTGAGCTGTTTGCCCTGTGTGGGATATTTCAGGACACAAATACCGGTAGCTTTTCACTATTCTGAAGAATGCTTAGAAATAAAAAGGGCAAGAGAGCATTTGAGTAGCTGAAAAAACAGAGCTTGTGCCGGAATCAAGGACAGAGTAAGAGGAAGTATACCGATAAATATTGAAGAAAGGCTAATAAATGTCCTCATGAATTTTGACCCTAACCCTAATCCTCAAAACTAAATAAGGGGGAAAGTATAGCAATAGCACTTAGACTTATTTACTGCTTTATAGTGCTTTACAGCCCTCTCTAAGCGGTTTACAGAATTAGCCTATTGCCCCCAACAATCTGGGTCCTCATTTTACCCACCTCGGAAGGATGGAAGGCTGAGTCAACCTTGAGCCTGGTGGGATTTGAACTGCCAAATTGCAGGCAGCCGGTAATCAACAGAAGTGGCCTGCAGTACTGCCCTTTAACCACTTAGGCTCTGAACAGGCAATACAAAATATTGCCAATTGTCCAATTGAGTCGAGGATTTTATTGCTGTTTTTTTCTTAATTTCTTAGGGCTTCTCAATAGTTTCAATTGGGAAACTGACCATCCTAGACCTAGCCAAGTCGAAAATCACTAGGGAATTTCTAGAAGCCAGGCACTCTTAACAAAATCAGCCATCGATAGACACATAGATGTAAACAATATCTACAGACTATGCACAAGACACCATCAATAAGCCAAAGGGGGAACTAGAAGACCGAAATACCTCCCCGCCACCAATCAGCATCCAGATGAGCATAGGTGAACTCCAAGATTAACATCAAACCAACCATCAAATAATACCCCAGTCAAGGAACTGCCAAACAACCCAACAGTAAACAGCCCAACCAGAGAACTATCCCTACCAACACTGACAGGGCAATCCAATAGAATATAAACAGAGCAAATCCCACTCCTTAGCACTGATGATGTTGCCTAGTTTGGTAATGTCTGTAGGAAAACCAAGCTCGGAGTGCACCAAGGACCCCTCATCTCAACTCTGAGCTACAAATATCCTTTATTAAGGCGGCTCAACCTTGGTATGTTTAAGATCTGTGGACTTCAGCTCCCGAATCCCTCCTGTAGCATCGCTGGCTAGAGAATTCTGGGAGTTGAAGTCTACAAGTCTTAAAAGTTTCCAAGTTTGGGGACCCCTGTCATAAATACACTCCAGTTGCTAAGCATCCAAATTTTGATCACTACATCAGTGGTGGGATTCCAAAAAAATTATTACCGATTCTGTGGGCGTGGCTTGGTGGACGTGGCATGGCTTGGTGGGCGTGACAGGGGAAGGATACTATAAAATCTCCATTTCTACCCTACTCCTGGGGGAAGGATACTGTAAAATCCCCATTCCCTCTCCACCCCACTAACCTGCTTTCCAGCTCCATTCTCCTGTACAGGGCAACAAAAGAAGACCCAACCAATCATCTGGGACTCGGGAGGCAGAGAATAGATGGGGGGTGGGGCCAGTCAGAGGTGATATTACGAACTACTCCAAATTTCCACTACCGGTTCTCTGAACTACTCAAATTTCTGCTGCCAGTTCTCCAGAACTGGTCAGAACCTGCTGAATACCACATCTGGACTACCTATGAACAACCTACCCACTCTGAACAAAGTTTCACTGCTCTCATTTGTTGGGCTTCATATGAAGGCTTATTCCTAATATGTCCCAATTCTTTGGAATTGAATTGTAATTTTTTGTAAACCACCTAAGAGTCACTGAGAGGGAGTGGGGTAGCCATATAATTTTTCTAAATAAATAAATAAACCGAGGTGCCTTCCTTCTGGAATTGTGGGGTCTTCATCCCTGGAAGTTTTTTTCAAGCAAAATATGATTTAAGGCTTCCTGCCTTGGGCAGTGGGTTGGATTAGAAGACTTTCAAGATGCCTTCATGGTTCCATGATTCTAAGAAACGTTTCAGTTAAAATCAACAATCATGGAATGAGTATTGCGGATTCCCTGAGCTGGGGCCTGTTTCTTCTGTTGTTGTTGCTTTGTTTTGTGTTGTTTTCAGAAATAGTCGCATCTCTAGTGAGGATGTTATGATCGATAAGATATTTCAATGCGCCGAAATGGATAGATTGATATTAGAATTGAAGGATCAAAATGAATCAGAATACCATAAAATATGGAATAAATTTTATTTCTGGAGGGACATGAAAGGGAATTCATAAAATTGAAATAAGAACTTAAGGTGAAATAGGGAAGTGATGAGGGAACAATAAGATAGTTGATATTTGAGGAACAATGAGAAAGATCTAAAAATTACAAAGATTAAATATATATACATGTATATAAATGTACATATAACTTCTTTATCTTTCTAAATGCAAAATGTATTGACAGAAATGTATGTCAAAGAAGACCACCATGTTCAATGTTTTTAATGTGTGTACTTAATAAAATTTATTTTTTAAAAAAGAAGAAGAAATAGTCATATTTTAAAGCAATAGGTAAGTTATGGGTGTTATCCATCAGCCTGGGTGTGAGATGAACATGAACAAAAACAACTTGGTTGTCCATGAAACAGCCTGGCCTTTCCTACCCACAAGGCTGAAACCACACCATGGCTGGCTGGAGATGATAAAAAATTGAGTTTTCTTCCTTTGACTCACAAGAGGAAAACCAAACTGCCACCAAAGAAGCGATAATCTTTTCAGAGGGCTAATTTTGGCCTCCCGTTCAAAAATGCTTCCCTCCCCTTTGAGTGGAATTAATGATGGTAAAAGGCGTTGCCAAACATCCAAACGAGGCGCAAATATGAAGTTTTGTCTCCTGAATGTATTGGTGGAAATAATTCTCCTGAGGAAAGGGCAAGGTAACAAAGCCACCGACGGGGTCATCTTGGATCTGGGCGGTGAAGGAATAGGATGAGGTGAAAGACTTGTCTTGTTTTTAGTGACGCCCCGTCTTTCATTTGCGGGTCTAAATTGGAAGACAAATTTTGTGTAGAATTTCCTTAGGTTAAAGATTAGGCTTGTTTGCTCAAGAGCAGGAGTGTTGGATATCTCAAAAAAAGAGGCATCTGACTATTTATTCTCTAAAATACCTGTAGGCCAGACAAGGAATAATGGATGGAAACTGAACAAGGAGAGATTCAACCTAGAAATAAGGAGAAACTTTCTGATAGGGAGAACACTCAACCCATGGAACAGCTTTGCCTTCGGAAGTTGTGGGAGCTTCATCACTTGAGACTTTCAAGAAGAGATTGGACTGCCATTTGTCAGAAATGGTGTCAGGTCTCCTGCTTGGGCAAGGGGTTGGACTAGATGACCTACAAGGTCCCTTCCAACTCTGATTATCTGTTAGAGCAGTGATGGCGAACCTCTTCAGGACTGACTGCCCAAACTGGAACACGCATGCATGTGCATGCCAAAAAACCAGCTGGCCAGTGTGTATATGCCTGGTTTTGGGCCATTTTGGGGGTCGTTCTCAGGCCGTTTTTGGCAGTTTTTCAGGCCATTTTGTGCACGTCAGAAACCAGAAGACCAGCTGGTGATGGCACATGTGCCCACTGAGAGAGCTCTGTGTGCCACCTCTGGCAACCGTGCCATAGGTTCACCATCACGGTGTTAGAGCAAGAATTATAACTCTAAAGGTGCCTCAGCATCCTCTCCACAAGACGAATTTCAATGCCCATTCTCCCAAGTTAATTGGGGATGATGGGGAATGTGTGGCCCACTATATCTGGGCACCACGAGGTTAATCAAAAGCCACTTAAAAGCAGCATCAAAATGGTTCCTTGCGAGTGGGATTATTATTATTATTTTTTTGAAAGGTAGGATGGGAAGTAGCATTTGGCCGAAGAGATGGTTAACATCTATTTGGTTAATGTCTATTTGTCTTCTCCATCAGCTATCTTGGTGAAAAAGCTCACTCATGGACCTGGGGAGGAAGCCTCCTTCCCCTGTGAAGCTATGGGCTATCAAACACCTTTGTTCTGGCTCCCTCTGAATCCCAAATGTGCGAACACCAACACAGAGAGAGTGGAAATAAACTGGAATCCCACCAGGAATGAAGTGATTCCTCTTCGGTTCAAAAAGCGTCTCATCTATCAGCCTCCACAATTACTAATCCTTAAGAACCTCATCATGAGTGATTCGGGGATTTACATCTGTCACTTATCCAATGGTTCAGAAACTCACACCATCCTGCAGGTAACCACAGGTATGTCTGAGTGAATGCATAATAATTCTATCCTATCCTATCCTATCCTATTATTCTTATTCTATTTTATTTTATTTTCTATTCTACTTTCTATTCTATTCTATTTTCTATTCTATTCTATTCTATTCTATTTTATTCTATTTTCTTTTCTATTCTATTCTGTTCTGTTCTATTCTATTCTATTCTATTCTAATTTTCTATTCTATTCTATTTTCTATTCCATTCTGTTTTCTTTTCTATTCTATTTTCTGTTCTGTTCTATTTTCTATTCTTTCTATTCTGTATAGATAGATACAGATAATCAGAGTTGGAAGGGACCTTGTAGGTCATCTAGTCCAACCCCCCATCCAAGCGGGAGACCCTACACTATTGGTTGATTGTTCTCACTGTCAGAAAGTTTCTTCTTGTTTCCAGGTTAAATCTCTCCTTGTTCAGTTTCCATCCATTATTCCTTGTCTGGCCTACAGGCGCTTTAGAAAATAGCTTGATCCCTTCCTCCCTGTGGCAGCCCCTCAAATATTGGAAGACTGCTATCCTGTCTCCCCTGGTCCTTCTCTTTACTAGACTAGCCAAGCCCAGTTCCTGCAACTGTTCATTGTATGTTTTAGTCTCCAATCCCCCAATCATCCTGGTTGCTCTTCTCTGTACTTTTTCTAGAGTCCCAACATCTTTTTTATAATGTGGTGACCAAAACTGGATGCAGTACTCTAAGTGTGGTCTTACTAAGGCTTTACAGAGTGGTGTTAGTACTTCCCTTGATCTTGACTGTATCCCTCTGTTAATATAACTTAGGATTGCATTAGCTTTTTTGGCGGCGGCTGCACACTGCTGGCTCATATTCTATTTTCTATTCTATTCTATTTTCTATTCTATTTTCTATTCTATTCTATTCTATTCTTTCTATTCTATTTTCTGTTCTATCTTTACTTGAAAATCTCCAGTAACTAGGCACTTACATCAGTGGTGGGATTCAAAAAATTTTACTACCGGTTCTGTGGGCGTGGCTTGGTGGCCGTGGCAGGGGAAGGATGCTGTAAAATTTCCAGTCAGAGGTGGTGTTTGCCGGTTCTCCAAATTACTCAAAATTTCTGTTACCGGTTCTCCAGAACTGGTCAGAACCTGCTGAATACCGCCTCTGAATCCCACACTTGCCTGCTGAAGGCCTCAGAAAGATTTTCCTTCATAAAATCCACTGGCAGCAACCCCTCAAGCCCTCATCACTTCATGAATGGACTACTGTAACCAGGGGTGGCCTGCTGGGGGTTCTCAGGGGTTCGGGAGAGCCCCTAGCTAAGATTTTGTGCAATTCGGAGAACTCCCAAATCCCACTCCTGGCTGGCCCAGCCCAGCCCACACCACCCTGCCCCTCCCAGGAATCCCCACGCGGCCCGTTTTGGATGTAAGTAAGAGCAGAGGCTCGGAGAGGGTGAAAAATGGGCCTCCCAGAAGTTCGGGAAGGCCATGGGCCTGTTTCCAGTTTCCAGACATCCTCCGGAGCCCGGGGAGACAGTTTTTGCCGTCCCAGAGGCTTGAGGAAAGCCTCCAGAGCCCGGGGAGGGCAAAAATGCCCCCCCCCCCCCCGGGTGTGGTGCAGAAAGCTGACTAGGCCACGCCCACCCAGCAACTGGCAGAGAACCCTTTGCTAAAAATTTTGAAGCCCACCCATGACTGTAACCCACTTTGCATGGTGTTGTCTTTGAAGATGACTCAGAAGCCTCCATTGGTCCAAAATGCAGTGGGATGACTGAAGAAGCAGATGGTCAAAATTGTACTTTTGATCGATTGGTTGATTATATGTCATCGTCATTTTTTATTTCTAGGGACCACATAGACCTTTTTTCCATAATGACTGAGGCTTGATCTCCAAAGCCATAGAGGGAAGATATAAACGATATGATGACATCACCAGCTGAAGAGAATTTGAAAGTTGGGGTCAATTATTATTATTTTTTTAGAAAGAAGTCTTTTATTTTTGCTAAAATAGATTAAAAGGTACCAGAATCTTAATCGTTTTAAGCAAAGACTTAAACATACCTGAATCTTAATAACTATTTGAAGGGAAGGGGAAGGGAAAGGGAAGGTGATTTGCCATCAAATTTGGTCACAAGCTCAGGAGTTTCCCTCTTGCCTGATATGGACTTCGTAGAAGTCGTCTTCTTATGTCCCGCCTCAACTGTTACCACAACTTCCCTTTTTTTCATTTGGGGAAAATTGATTCTGTGTCCATCAACCAAGTGCTGTCTGGAGATTTGTGTATTTCTAGCTTTGTCTCACAGTTTCTTTTCCTCAGATGGATCAGCAGAAGGAAAAGGCTTCAGCAAGTGGGAGAAAGTTTAAAATTAGTAGATTCCCTAATTACATAAATGTTTATCTGACAGTTAATTTCGTGAAGATGGGCTTAAGTCCCCTTACAGATAAGATGAAATCTGCTTTTCATTCTAGACCCAAATGAAAAGATCCAAAAATGGTGCAGTAAATTATCTTTCATTTTTCATGGAATGTTGCTTTCTCAGATCCTTTGATCAAAGATCTAATCTCTTTAAGAAGCTGAAAATATCTGACAATGTATGGCTCACATGATGTGCTCTCTATTTTCAGTAATTTAATCAGTTTCTGATTTTCATACTTTGCTACGAAACATTCTAAATTCATAAAAGATGATGATCGCTCATCCAGGCCTTCCAGGTTCTCTTCTCCATCTAATTCTCCAAGCCTGGAGAATGGCACTGGAAATAAAACAGAGGCTGATTCAAGGAAAGAAGGTTTATTTGGTTTCAAGAAACTTCCATGACAGCAGCAATGTTTCTGGGGTGGCTGGCAAAATGGCTGCGTGAGTGGATGGATCTTTATAGGGTTCTGGGGTTTTGTGTTTGAGATGCTCCAGGAGGGCGGGGGGTTGTGCAGTGTAGTGAGACTTGTGTCTTCTTTACTATTCCAATTGTGGTGGGTTAATCCTACTGCTGTCCTTAAAGTCCTGTCCTGTCCTTAGAATTTGGGGGGGGGGGGGGGTAGATTCTTAATCCCATCAGCTCCAGTGGGAGCTGGGACTGCAAGTGTTTTGTTTATGAACAGATTGGCCCAGTCTTTCTGAATGGATACAAAATCTGCATTCCTAAAGGCCAGCCTCTTCAATCTTCTTATTTTGAAGCTGTTTTCCTATGGCAGGAAGACTGGGGCTACTTTCTGCCTTTCTTACGATTTTTCTCCATTTTTCTTTTGGGGAAACATGATATTCTCCCTCTTTTAATATTCCCCCCAAATATTTCATTCCCTGGGGTGGGGGGAGCTTCCCACAATACCAAACATGCTCCCTGGCCCAGAAAGAGGATCTAGTTCCATGTTGTTCTGATCAAGGCTTCCTGAGACATTAACAAACACTCATTAGTCCCAAAAACCTTTTGTTTTATTTCAACGGCTGTGACTTCACAGTCCATAATGAGTCTCAAACAGTTTGTAAATAGTTCCACAGAAGTCTACCAAAGTCCTTCGGGATATGTCTGATAAGCATGCACCTTTATCTTTCTTGAAATGCTGCCAACGACTAAATTTCCAATTAGTTATACAAGGCCAAATGGAGCACAAATTCAACACGGAGCTTCAGGTTTCAAACTGACCAGTACGAACAAAGTTGCTTCCTGCAAAGGTTCCTGTCCCTTTGCTCTTCCTTTATGTCTTATCTGAATCAAACAATGCATATGTGATTTAGCCCTATGTATATGGTGGCATTTTTAAATTATGTAACTTACTATATGTTTTAGATAGGTTTTAGACTAGGTTTTTAATTATTATTTTAATTATTTTAATTTTTAAATACTCTGTAGTGTGATTGTGATGTGGTGTTTCAGACACTGTGCTGGAGTAGCTTTCAAATTTCATTGTATTTGTAGAATGCAATGACAATAAAGGTATTCTATTCTATTCTATTATGGGAGGGCCAATCACCTCCAAGCCTTACTCCCGAGTCGCCCCTTTTGTCTTAACTGTTCTTGCCTTCTGGCAGCTCTGCGCAAATGTGCACTGGGAATGGGCTCCCCCTGTTCCTCTGCCTCACTGCTGTCAGATTCTGGGGGCTCTGGAGTCAGCACATAACTCCCAGATGGCTCTGGCCCCATCTCTGTATCGGATGCAGGACCCTCATCTGAGTCCTTCCCCAGACTCCTGGATCAGCCCATGTTCCTTCCCACTGTCCGACTCTGCTGCCATCTCCGCAGGCTGCCAGTGGACCACAACACATGTTGGGAGTGTTGTGGGAGACAAAGCATTCCCGATTTCCTAGCATGCCTTAAGGATTCCTTCAAATCCAGCCTTAATCCTGCCATTTACCTCATTTCCTTCTTTTTCTTCAGGCTGCCACAACAATATCTTGATCTCCTCCCAGTGGCTCAATGTCTCCTCTTTGCAGCTCACGTGCCAATATTGCAATAACTGGAATACGGACAGTCTCCGTTGGCTGCTGAACTCCAAGCGACTAGGCAAATCCCGTTGGGCTAAGAAGAGAGATATCGGCTCTTCAGTATTATTACATCCCATCCAGGATAAGATATGGGGACGTTGGGAATGCCAGTCAATTTTAAATCCTTATTGGAGTTCTGAAATTTGCTTGAGGCCACCTGCTGGAGAGACAGATGAAAGTAAGTTGGGGATAAATGGTTTGCTTTCAACGGTGGTTTACGTGCATTAAAGCAGGACTGTCCAACCTTGGCAAGTTTAAGCCTGGCAGACTTCAACTCCCAGAATTCTGGGAGTTGAAGTCCTCCAGCAAAGCTGCTGGGAAATTTTTATTTATTTATTTATTTGATTTTATTTTATTTGTCAATCACTTACAAGATAATGAGGTATATAACATGAGTAAGAATACAGGAAATAGGTACAAATAAATGGGGACAATAGGACAGGGGTGGTAGGCACGATGGTGCACTTATGCACACCCCTTACAGACCTCTTAGGAATGGGGTGAGGTCAATAGTGGATAGTTTGAGGTTAAAGGAGTGGGGATTTGAGGATGTAACAACAGAGTCAGGCAATGCATTCCAGGCATTGACCACTCTGTTGCTGAAGTTGTACTTTCTGCAATCAAGTTTGGAGCGGTTAACATTGAGTTTGTATCTGTTGTGTGTTAAAGTCCTCCAGCAAAGCTGGCTGGGGAATTCTGGGAGTTGAAGTCCTCCAGGCTAAAAGTTGCCAAGGTTGGAGGCCCTTGCATTACAGAATTGCATGAAGAGGGGAAACGTTCAGTGGATATGGCTTCTTCCCATCAGCGACAGAGCTAGATGTGCCAGGTGTCCAAAAATTATTTGATTTCCCCTTCAGATATTGAAGAGAGACCTTCAGACTCCTTCTAGAGAACCATCCCTGTCCATTTCTCTATCTGGTTTTAATAAAGGTAGTCCTCGACTTACATTTGTATAGTAAATTCAAAGTTACAATGGCACCGAAAATGTGACTTATGATAGTTTTTCACACTTACGGCTGTGGTCACGTGATCAAAATTGAGATACTTGGCAACTGACTCATATTTATGACGGTTGCAGTGTCCCGGGGGTCACGTGAACCCCTTTTGCGACCTTCTGACAAGCAAAGTCAAAGGGGAAGCCAGATTCACTTAACAACTATGTTAGTAATATAACAACTGCAGTGATTCAGTTAACAACTGTGGCAAGAAAGGTCGTGAAATGGGGCAAAACTCACTTAATCCATTTCTCACTGAGCAACATAAAGTTTCAACTCAATTGTGGTCGTAGGTTCAGGGCTACCTATAATTAAAACCCCTTAAGATCTGAAACCCTGTCAGAAGATGGAAAGAGGCCACAGTGCTTGAAAAATAATATATCATGTACAACACCGTCCTTTCAAGAGTTCCAAGAAGGCTCCACCACCTATTTACACTACTCACAGATAGTGTAACACTACTCCACCACCTATTTACACTACTCACAGATAGTGACAACACAGATAAACCTCCACGTGCCCTTAACAACTCTCCAAAAGGATGCAAATGACCAGCTGTCTGCAAGGAGTATAAATCCTTCCATTCCCAACCATATAGTCAGTGTCAGGATTCTAGCAGTTACACCAATTAAATCATGAGCCTTGAGCCACACTCCCAAAACTTCAAATGATTTATTAGAAATTAACATGTCAGAATTAGTCTAGGCGTAGCCGACTCTGAGATACATAATTCACTGTAACCCTTGATCCTGCTTTCCCGCCCTCCACCCCTCTGGGTGTATCATCCAACGAAACATGTCCATAGCCAAGAGTCACCAATCATGCTCTCCAATTAGATTTTTGCATGGCAGAAGCTTCAGTCATCTAATCAGTCTCTGAAGAAAATATGAATGGAATGTACTTTCGATTCCACACTGCTGCCTGCTCTTTGAAACTCCCTTTCCCTTCTTTTTGTTGACAACTATAAAACGTGTATACAAAATGTTTTATGAGTTGACAGTCAGAGCTGAAGAAGCTTCTTGGATGAGAAGCAAAAAATATTTAAAGAAAAACCTGACAGTCCGGCTGCCTCTTGAAAAAGCACCTTTGGGACAACCATAACCTGGATGATTGAGAATCTCCATAGACAATATATTATGTATTTTTCATTCCATTGTCGCTCTCGCAACAGTTCCTGAATATATCGATTCTACTCAGCCCACCTGGTCAGCATTATCTGCTTGGTCAAGTCCTGCTATCATTCAGACGACCGAAGTTACACAGAGACACCATGCTGTGGATAGAATTGCTACCTGGACTTGGATGCTGCTGTTAGCTGGTCTGGCTCTGATCACAGCTGCCCTGAGTGTGACCTTGTATTTTTGGAAAAAAGATTTTTCGGGCAGGTGGGTCAAGGTGCTTGTGGGAAGAACATTGATGGGAGCGAAGTGATGCATTTTCAACCAGGTATTTCCCAAAGGTGCTTTTTTCAAGAGGCAACGACTTTCTGGTTTTTCTTTGAAGACATTTCACTTCTCATCCAAGAAGCTTCTTCAGCTCTGATTGGATGGTGGACTTTTCAAAGGAAAAACCAGAAAGCCCAGTTGCCTCTTGAAAAAGCACCTTTGGGACAACCATGACCTGGATGACTGAGAATCCATAGACCAGTGGTGGCTAACCTTTTTGGGCTCCTGTGCCAAAAATTGTGCGTACGCTGTTGCTTGTACGCTCACGTGCCAGTACCCAGAAGGCAATGCGCCCCCCCACACTCCCTGCACATGCACGCGCAATCCTCCCACGGCCCCAACACCACCACCCCTTACCTGCACTGTGCCTCACAGCTTATTCTCGGCTGGTTTGAGGCCTTTTTCAGCCTGTCAGAGGCTTGGAAAAAGCCTCTGCAGGCCGAATAGTCCTGTTTCATCACTTCCTGTGATGAAATGGGCCTATTTGGCCAGCAGAGGCTTTTTTCAAGCCTCTGGCAGGCCAAAAAAGGCCTCAAACCAGCCGAAAATTAGCTGTGAGAAGCACGCATGCGCAGTGAGGTAAGTTTGCCTATGGCTCACGTGCCGGCACAAATGGCTCTGCATGCCACCTATGGCACACGTACGATAGGTTCGCCATCACTGCCATAGACTTTCAACCAGCTATTACTCCACTCTCCATTTAGTGACTGCTTGAAATTACAATGGCACTGAAAAAATGTGATTTACAACTGGTCCTCACACAGTATCCCCATGGTCCTGTGATCAAAGTTTGGGTCCTTAGCTGCAGGCACATATTTACAATGATTGCAGTGTCTTGGGTCATGTGGCCACCATTTGCAATCTTCCTAGCCAGCTTCTGACAAGCAACGTCAACAGGGGAAGCTGGATTCTCTTCATGACCACATGATTTACATAACAACAGCAGGGTTTCACTGAAATTCACAAGCAGAAAAGGTTGTAAAAAAAAATCAGGGGTTACTCCCTTATGAACAGTCTTGCTTCAGCAACACAAATTTGGATCCCAACTGTTGAAAGTTGAGAACTATCTGTAATTTCATTTGTTTTCCATTTGCTGCTAAGCCAATTGCCATTGGTCATAAAAATGAAAATATTAATCATTAAAATGCTTGTTAAATTTAGAAACTCTGTGATGACCCAGGGTGGGATACAAAATAAACACAGTCACAAAAAACAGGTGAAGCCCCTTTTATTCCTTCACTTTGCTTCCAAGCTCCAAATATCTTTGACTGGAGACAAAAAATTCCCACACAAGCAGTTACCAGAAGGAGGAAATGCTGTTTAAATTATAAAGAGTAAAAAACAACACAAACCAGGCAAGATAAGCGCTTGAAAACGTCCACAGATAACAGAACACACACTGGGAAGGACACCAAACTCAGAGAGGAACCATAAACTAGAAATATTTCCATGCTTTGTTTCCAGCACTTGCCAGTACGCAGGTCCAACCTCTTATCCAGTTGTCACAGCTGCAGCCCATGAAGAGGATCAAGGCCCCCTCCTCCCCAGTAGACCACATCTCTCCCTTATCCTCTCCTCCCTGCGTGCCCTAGGATGGAGAGGGGATGGGCCTGGGTCCTCCTCTGACTGCCCAGCTGGCCTCTGCCCTTCCCCAGCCTCCTCCTCCACAACCTCCGAAGCCACACTTCCACTCCCTGTTGGCTGTTCCTCCTCAGAGTCAGTCTCCACCAGAGGCATGACAAACTCATAGCTTTTCTAGTAGACCATGGAGAGGGTTAACTCCAAAAGCTATTAGTGGGACATCCCAAAAACTTTCTCCCAATCACGTTACGCACCTTATGCAATTAATGGGCTTTGGAAACATACCTTTTTTTTTTAGGCAGTGGTGTGCTTCAAAAATTTTAGCAAAGGGCTCTCTGCCCGGTGGTGGGGTGGGCGTGGCCATGGTGGGCATGGCCTAGTCAGCCTCCTGCACCATGGTGGGGGTGGTTTTGCCCTCCCCAGGCTCCGGAGGCTTTCCTCAAGCCTCTGGGAGGGCGAAAATGGCTTCCAGAGGCTCTCTGGAAGCTGGAAACTGGCCCATTTCCGGCCTTCCCGAACTTCCGGGAAGCCCATTTTTCACCTTCCTCAAGCCTCCACACGTGCCCTGCACTTACCTGCATCCAAAATGGGCTGCGTGGGGACTCTGGGGGAGGGAGGGGTCGGGTGGGCGGGGCCAGGAGTGGGATTTGGGGGTTCTCCAAACTGCACAGAATCTTAGCTAGGGGATCTCCTGAATCCCCTGCGAACCCCCAGCAGACCATCCCTGTATTTAGAAAGGATTTCATTGGGTGTATTCATACTCTTCCTTTCTTCCAGGTATCCTCATAACAACGCTGCAAGGTCAGTTGAACAAAGACATTGTGATTGACTCATCATGAAATAACCTTCATGTCACATGGGTGTGTGTGTGATATTTTAGGTCCAATGCTTTAACCATTACATTATCCTTGGCCTTGCAGTTATCTTCAAGGATTATAGTGTTGCAGATACAGCCAAATGGGAATCAGGTTGCAGCCATTCCCAGCATTATCCATCCAGATCTTAGAGCAGAGTGTCTACTGTAAGCATTTAAACTCCCTACAGCAGCATCTCTCAACATCAGCAATTTTATGATGGGTGGACTTCAATTTCCAGAATTCCCCAGCCAGCATGCTCCATGATCTAATTTAAAATGTCTCTTCCTCATAGATGCGACTTCTCCACAAAATATATGAGGTTGCATCTATTATGCAATTCTAAAAGGTCCCAGCAGAGATTATACGACTTGAGACTTCTCAGAAAACAACCACTGAATGAAAAATTGCTGGTGACCTTCTACCAGTGCACCATAGAGGGTATCTTAACTTACTGCACCTCTGTATGGTTTGCCAATTGCACAGGGGCAGATAGAAAAGCACTCCAGCAGGTTAACGTCATTGCCCAGAAGATCATTGGTTGCTCTCTCCCCTCTTTGGAAGAGCTTTATAGCTCCCGCTGCCTTAAGAAAGTTCAAAACAATCTCAAAGATCCATCTCATCCTGGGCACCCTTTTTTTGAACTATTACCATCGGGCAGATGGTACAGGATAATAAAAACAAGGACAAATAGGCTGAAAAACAGCTTCTATCCCAGGGCAGTAGCGCTTTTGAATTCTATTGTATAGTGCAGTGTTGGTGTAGTGTCAGGGTTTTCAATTCAATATGTGGAGTGTGAAGGATATGTTCGTTTGTGTTTATTTACATGGTCAAGATGTGCACTGAAAATGGTGTTTGATTTCGTTGTATGAGGTGCAATGACAATAAACTAACTAATCTAAGCACAGAACATTTGAACATGACATTAACCTACAACCTGACCCTAAACCTAAAGTTTAAATCTACTACTCTCAGTAAGTCCTTACCAAGGTAGGAAACATTGCCAAGTCTGCTTATTGAGAAAGGAGTTTAATAAGGAAGAGGATGCTATTTTAGCTGGTCTTGCCATATTGATTATAGTATAGTGCCACTCTAAAAAATGTTTTTAATTCTTTCTAGAGTTACTGGTGAAAGAATGGAGCCTACAGGTAAGGAGTGAATGAAGAAGTCATTCTCACTGATTGTTTTTAAGTAATATTTCTGGACTAGCCCCCTCCTTGTAGAATATTTTTGCTTTTAAGTGGAACATTTTGAGTAATGTTTGCAAAATGACCCTGCAACTTACCTGTTGCTGCTTCCTACAGTCATAGTGTAGTTGAGTTAATACAGGTAGTCCTCGATTTATAGCAGTTCACTTAGTGACCACCTGAAGTTACGACACTAAAAAAAAGACATGGCTGTTTTTCACACTTATGCAGTGTCCCCATGGTCATGTAATTTACATTCAGATATGTGACAACTGACTCATATTTATGACGGTTGCAGTGTCATCTGATTCCTTTTTTTTTGTGACCTTCCAACAAGCGAAGTCAATGGGGAAGCCAGATTCACTTAACAACTGTGTTACTATCTTAACAACTTGCAGCGCTTCACTCAACAATGGTGGCAAGAAAAGTTTTAAAATGGGGCAAAACTAAGCAACATAAATTTTGGGCTCGATTGTGGTCGTAAGTTGAGGACTACCTGTAGATGTTTGGGAAGTTTTCTAGACAAAATCTCTACTGCCATCTTTTCTGTTATTTTATTCCATTATGTCCAATTCTCTCTCTTTTTTTTTATCTTGCTCAATGTGACTGCACAACCTCAAGATTTTGCTTCTGCCCGAAATCCCATCAGAAAGGAGAAAATAGGCAAGCAGGGGAGTTTGGATGAGGTAAATACCAGCTGTGTGATGACCCAGGGTGGGATACAAAATAAACACAGTCACAAAAAACAGGTGAAGCCCCTTTTATTCCTTCACTTTGCTTCCAAGCTCCAAATATCCTTGACTGGAGACAAAAAAACTCCCACACAAGCAGTTACAAGAAGGAGGAAATGCCATTTAAATGATAAAGAGTAAAAAACAACACAAACCAGGCAAGATGGCTTGAAAATGTCCACAGATATCAGAACACACACTGAGAAGGATGCCAAACTCAGAGAGGAACCATAAACTAGAGATATTTCCATGCTTTGTTTCCAGCACTTGCTCGTATACATGTCCATCCTCTTATCCAGTTGTCACAGCTGCAGCCCATGAAGAGGATCAAGGCTCCCTCCTCCCCAGAAGACCACATCTCTCCCTTATCCTCTCCTCCCTGCGTGCCCTAGGATGGAGAGGGGATGGGCCTGGGTCCTCCTCTGACTGCCCAGCCAGCCTTTGCTCTTCCCCAGCCTCCTCCACAACCTTTGGATCCACACTTTCACTCCCTGATGGTTATTCCTCCTCTTCCTCAGAGTCAGTCTCCACTAGGGGCGTAGCAAGCTGGATGTTCCTGGGAGCACTGTATAGTTAGAATAAACCTGGGCAGATTGTGAGTTCAAGGTATTATGCCATATTTCCATAACTGAACTCGCCACAAATAGTAACTTTTCAGTACAGTTCGTCCTTGACTTATATCTGGGGGCTGCAGTCTGATAAGTTTGTCTTTAGGGGTACAGGTATTGGTATTCTAACCAATCAAAAAGGACATTTGTAGCCCAGAGTTGAATTGTGGGGGTCCCTTGGTGGTTTCTGAGCTTGGTTGCTTTCTTGCAGACGTTTCATTACTCCACTAGGTAATATCATTAATATCCTAACCATTTATCTAATGCTGCTTTCCTTTCCAGAGATCTGCTTCCCTTAATTATGCACAGCTGCAACATCTCCAAAGAAAATCTCCCACCATTCACACTCCGGACAATGCCACAGTATATGCTGTGATTGTCTGATATCAGCTTTCATCCCTTCCTACATGCATTTGAAGACTGCATCTTTTACCTGACTGTGTTACCTGTTAAGCTTCACCTGGGCTCTGCTTCTAACAGCATGTTATGGAGCCCATCAGGCAGAGGACCGAGCAAGTCTTCCCAGCTCCAAGTATTGAATGAGAGTTTTCCTTGACTACATGTTTCCTTTCAGAAGGGCGGGATAAGACATAATTGAGCCATGGTGGCGCAGTGGTTAGAGTGCAGTCCTGCAGGCTACTTTCCCTGACTGCTGGTTGCCTGCAGTTTGGCAGTTCGAATCTCACCAGGCTCAAGGTTGACTCAGCCTTCCATCCTTCCAAGGTCGGTAAAATGAGGACCCTGATTGTTGAGGGCGATAGACTGACTCTATAAACCACTTAGAAAGGGCTGAAAAGCACTATAAAGCTGTATATAAGTTTATTGTTATAAGACACAGTAAACTACTAGTACTATCTTTGGAAGGGTGGGTTGCAGCAGGTCTGAGGACTACAATATCCATGTGAGCATGCCCCACAAAATTTGTCCCCACGCAGCAACACCAAAGTGCAAGGAGATAACATCGCTCCCTTCTTTCTTGGGATCTGTTAATAGAAATAGCCTTATATATGTGGTGTCTAAAATATATCCAAAATAGCTCTAGAACTAGTCCTTGTGATTTCCTTAGACAAGAAGGGCATTTTTGCCAAATCTGAAACAAAACAGAGAAAAAAAGGCTCTCTCGTCTTGTCTCAGAGTTCAGTCACGGCAACTGGTCTTTTCTTTTTTTTGTTGTTCGAAATGTTTCCCTGCTTATCCAAGTAGCTTCTTCAGCCTGAGTCAACCTGTTCCCCCTAGCCAACTTACTCAGGGGTGGGAATTCAACTGGTGTAACAACCGGTTCGGTGAGAAAGCGTGTAGCGTTTGAAAACCGCCCATTTTTCAGCTCTAATATTAACCTTCTAACTGCTGCCCTGGTGAGTAAAACAGCTACATGGCACAACGCTGTGCTGCGCGAATCAGCTGAGCTGCAAAACACAGAAACAAAGGGCCGACTAGGGCAGAGGCAGGTGGACAGGGTCAAATGATTGTCGGAACTACCGGTTCGCTTGAACCGGTCCGAACCTGTAGAATTCCACTCCTGAACTTACTCAGGCTGAGAAAGCTACTCAGATAAGCAGCGAAATGTTTCAAATCAACAGGAAAAGAAGCACAGTTTCCATGACTCAACTCCCAGACAACTCTACATGGAGGACTGAAAATCTTCATTGCCACATTTCTCTTCTTGGTTCCCTCCTTTTGCATTCCGGTGCTTTTACTGTGGCAGCGCAGTGGTTAGAGTGCGGTACTGCAGGCTACTTCTGCTGACTGCTGGTTGCCTGCAGTTTGGCAGTTCGAATTTTGCCAGGCTCAAGGTTGACTCAGTCTTCCATCCTTCCAAAGTCGGTAAAAAGAGGGCCCACATTGTTTGGGGGCAATAGGATGACTCTGGTAAACCACTTAGAAAGGGTTGTAAAAGCACCGTGAAGTGGTATGTAAGTCTAAGTGCTATTGCTATTGCTACTGTCCTACAGCCACATAGATTGAAATGTACTTGGGGGGGGGGGGTGTCCTGTATTTTTATTACCTTGTAAATTTAATGTAAATTTATGATGGCGGTAGAAATATAGAAATCATATCTAACATGGTGTTATAAATATAATAAATATTCAGTACCAGCCATGGATTCCTGGCAATTGAGGTCTTTCTTTCCTTCCTGTATATGTTGTTGATTTACAAGATGCACCAGAAACACAAAGGAAAGTTTGTATCATAACAGCAAGGTAATATTGCAAAGGGAGATTGCAATCCTCAATGTTTTCCCTAGAATATAAGTTGCCCAGAACAAAATGACTCTTGAGAGAACTGGCACAGAGTGACTACTTGCAAGACAAGCCTGCTAACATTTATTTAGACATAAAGCAAAAACTGTGCAAAACAAAAATACCATAAACGGTGACCCAAAATACACTTTGTATTTTACATTCCTACAGGTGATCCTCCCTGCCTCCAAGCCCACTGCTGATTGTCTGCTTTCTCTAATCTCCCCCAATGAGGTTTACTCATGGTATAATGTCATCTTGCTTATACAGGTAGTCCTTGTCTTACAACATTTCATCCCGTGATCATTCAAAGTTATAACGGCATTGGAAAAAAAATGACTTATAACCGTTTTTCACACTTACAAACTTTGCAACATCATCACCGCCCTGTGATCAAAATTCAGATGCTTGGCAACTGAGTCATACTGAAGACTGTTGCTGTGACCTAAGGTCATGTGATCACTTTTTGCAACCTTCAGATGAGCAAAGTCCATGGGGAAGCTGGATTCGCTTTACAACGGGGTTATGTGATGACCTGGGGCGTGGCACAAAAGCAACAAAGTCCCAAAAGTAGGTAAAGTCCCTTTAATACCTCTAACTTGGCCCCCAATGCCCAGTTATCATCGACTGGAGAAAAAAACCTCTCCCAAGAACAGTTTTTAAAGGGAAGAAATTCAGTCCGAACCCAAAGTACATATAAATGATAAATAAAAACCAACACAAACCACGCTGCAGCAATTAACGAGACAGGGCAGGATAAGGAATTGCAGACTTCAAAAGATAATGAAACACACACAGTTGGGAGGATGCCAGAACCCAGATAAGACTTGACAAACAATGATAATGCACGCTTTGCTTCCAGCATGGTGCTATGTGCAAACGCCCTTTAAAAATCCTGTTTTCCCAGCTGCAGCTAATGAAGGGAATCAGGGCTCTTTTCTCCCCCATAACCCACATTGGTCCCTTATCCTCTCCTCCCTGCATGCCCTAGGATGAACAGGGGATGGGCCTTGGTCTTCCTCTGAATGCCCATCCGGCCTGTGGCCTTCCCCAGTTTCCTCCACAGCCACCGGAGCCACACTCCCACTCCCTATCAGCTGCTTGACCTTCCCCTCAGAATCAGATTCCAATAGGGGCATGACAGGTTTCCAATAGGGGCATGACAGTTTAACAACAGCAGTGATTCACTTAACAACCGTGGCAAGAAAGATTGCAAAATGGGTCAAAACTCACTTATCAAATGTCTCATTTAACAGCAGAAATTTTGAGTTCAATTGTGGTCATAAGTCAAGGACTACCTGTAATTCAATCCAGAGGTTCATATTGTGGATTGCTGTAGAACCGAGTTTCTTGCCAACCTTAGCAATGAAAACTTTTGCTCCGTAGAGCAGCATTTCTTCACTTTGGCAGCTTGCCTGAAGATGTGTGGACTTCAACACCCAGAATTCAACAGCCCCTCAACGAGGTTGGTACACGTCACTCTAAAGGATTGTATGAATTCTGGGAATTGGAGTCCACACATCTTCAGCTACCAAGGTTGAGACAGACTATGCCAGGGGTGTCAAACTCAAGGCCCTTAGGGTGCTTAAGGTGCTCAGATCTGGCCTGTGGGGACTGCCCTGGAAACAGCGAAGGGCTGGCACACGGCCATCTCGAGCTCCATTTTCACTGGCGGAGGGTTGGAGGATGCTGTCTCAGCTGAACACGGAGCTCGTGAGGGCTGCGTGCGGCCTGCTCAAGCTCCGTTTTCGCTGGCAGAAAGGATGGCGCTCACAAGGCCATTTTCACTGGCAGAGTGCTTGGGCCGCCACAGGCGTCCCCCAACACGAGGGACATCAAGCTGGTCGTTCCCCCTGGCCAGACACAGACCCCGCTCCCCCGCCCCCGAGGTCAAGCACAACCCTGATGTGGCCCCCATGAAATCGAGTTTGACACCCCTGCACTAAAACCAAAGGATTTTATAAATACTGGGAATTGACGTCTAACCCTCTTCAAGCTCCCATGGTTGAGAAACTTTGCACTGGAGGATCGTATATCAACCTTTGGGACAGATCAGCTTTTTGGACAATTGCTTGAGAGCATTTCTGCATAGATGATGGCAGGCGTCTCCTCCTTTGTCTGACTCCGGCATCGCTCTGGCTCCTTGAATTGCAGTACTGAGTATTGGATTCCTTCTGCCCCCTAAAAAGACAGAATGGGGGGGAGAAAGATCAAAAGATCCCTGCGGTCAATGTATAGAAAACTCTTTCAGCCCCCATCAAAGTTACTGAATTTTACCTCATGTTAATGACCAGACCATAGAGACAAAGCTTTCAAGAAGAGACCATACTGTCAGAAATGGTATAGGCTCTCTTGCTAGGGGACAGAGGGGGTATTCAGCAAGCTCTGACCAGTTCTGGAGAACCAGTAGCGGAAATTTTGAGTAGTTTGGAGAACCGGCAAATACCACCTCGCACTGACCCCCCCCCCATCTATTCTCTGCCTCTCAAGTCCCAGCTGATTGGCTGGGTCTTCTTTGGTTGCCCTGCACAGGAGAATGGAGCTGGAAAGCAGGTTAGTGTGGTGGGGTGGGAATGAGGATTTTGCAGGAACCTTTCCCCTGGAGTGGGGAGGGAATGGAGATTTTGTAGTATCCTTCCCCTGCCATGTCCACAAAGCCACGCCCACAAAGCCACACCACGCCCACAAAGCCACGCCCACAAAACTGGTAGTAAAATTTTTTGAATCCCATCACTGAACAGGATGCTCTCGATCGTCCCTCTATAGCAGAGGTGTCAAACTTCCATTGTCACAGCATCATCATGTGACATATTGTGACTCCCCCCCCCTCGCTACACCAGGCGCGGGCGTGGCCAGCCCGTGATGCATCCGGCCTGCAGGCTAAGAGTTTGACAGCCCTGTTCTATAGGAAGTGGTAAGGACCCGGAAAGGAAGATGAATTTTTCTCATCAGACATAGAAGATCCAGAAGGCCACCAGGGGGCAGCAAAGGAACATCCCTAAGTCTGTCACAGGCTCTTTGGAGTACAAGTAAGCCTTGATTTACGACCACAAAGGAGCCCAATATCACAGGTGTTCCATGTGGTTCATTTAAGCAAATCTGGTTTTCCCCCATTGACTTTGCTTGTTGGCAACCACCTGGGAAGGTTAAAGGTCACTTCGGGGCACCTCAGCTGCTATAAATACATGCCGGATGACAAGTGCCCAAATTTTGATCCCGTGACCATGGGGATGCTCCGACAGTCATGTGAAAAATGGTCGTCAATCATTTTTTCCAGTGCCGTTTGTAACTTGGAATGGTGACTAAACAGACGGGTGTAAGTCGAAGACTACTTTGATGAGCCTAGACTGGCCTAATATGCAAATGCATGTAAATTAACTTGTAGAGCGATTTTAATTTATAATGGCTTGCACTTGGAAACAAACTGGAATGGGCATCACGTTTATACCACTCTTTCTGGTATTGGAAAGATCATATTACTCTGTTCAACAATCAACATAACAATCAGAAACAGTAGCAGTAACACAAACCTTACCTCATTCATCTCTACATCTTTTTCTTGGTTCTTTAGGGGTTTTTCTGTTCCTAAGATTGAAAGATATTAGAATAAGCTACAGCAATTGATTTGTTAAAGGCCTTGTCAACAGCTAGTCTTCCCAGGGATCCATTCTGAAAAGATGGACTGGGATAACTCACTGTGACCAATTCGCCATGGCCACCTCAGTGCGGCCAACTTCCCATGGCCGACTCATCGTGGGATAACTCACCAGCAAATATTTAAAAAAATATTTTAACTTTCATCATTTCTCCCCGCTTCGGCATCCTTTCTTTAATGATTCGGTTCTAACATTTCTTCAATATTAGTATAACTCTTGTCCCATGGTGAGTTGGCAGTGGCGAATTGTCCTAGCCCTGTGATAGCAAACCTATGACACGCGTGCCACAGGTGGCACGCAGAGCCATTTGTGCTGGCACGCAACCCGCAGGCAAAGTTACTTCAATGCGCATGCGCGCGCCTCACAGCTGAATTTTTGACCTGTTTGAGGCCTTTTTTTGCCTCCCAGAGGCTTGTGGAAAGCCTTTGCAGGCCAAAAAATAGGCCCGTTTCATCACTTCCTGTCTTTCCGGAAAAACCGGAAGTGATGAAACGGGCTGATTTTTCGGCCTGTGAAGGCTGCAGAAGATTTCCTCAAGCCTCTGGGAGGCCGAAAAAGGCCTCAAATGGGCTGAAAATCAGTTGGGAGGTGCAGTCCAGGTAAGTGGGGCGCGGGGAGTGGGGGGATTGCGTGCGCATGCGCAGGGGTTGTGGGGGGCGCAAGCGTATTGCCTTCTGGGTGCTGGCACGTGAGCACACAAATGCAAGTGCCTGCACAATTTTTGGGACAGGAGCCCAAAAAGGTTAGCCACCACTGTCCTAGCCCAACTTCAGTGGACTTCAGTCATCATATCATGTCACAAGATAGTTTTGCTTAGTTTTGGCTTAGTTCAATATGGGAATCCTACCACTATCAGGGCTACCATTCAGTTACTCTGTGTACTGACTGCTGCTGGTTGCCTGCCATAGAAACATGGAGGTAGGGGGTGGGAGCTGTGGGATAGGACAGGAGGGTTACCCTGAGGAAATGAAACCATCCCGTGAGAATAGCCGGCTGTTCCAAGTTCAGCAAAGGAATGCAGCCAGCTGTAAAGACAGGGACTATGTCCCAAAACAGTTTGTAATACCTAATTGCACACTTCTTGATAAATGGGGTGGGGATGAAAGGGAACAGGGGAAAACTTTGGGCGCAAAAAAACTCAGATCTAGCTTCACTTCTTCTGTAACCACGAGCAATTATTGCAAGAGTTGAACCCATATGCCATAAACCATGCAAGAATGCCTAGATCTGGGAGTGTCAAACTCAATTTCATTGAGGGCCACATCAGGGTTGTGTTTGACCTTGGGGGGCTAGGGTGGGCCAGGGCCAGATCTCAGCACCCCTTGGCTAGATTCAGCCCACGGGCCTTGAGTTTGACATCCCTGGCTGAGATTAAGATCTGCAGCAAGAGCAGGTTACATTCTGAAATAATAGAAGTATACAAGTAAATAATGATGCATATGTGTATATTATATACACATAACATACACTTGAAAAATAAAAGGTACAAGACAACTAAACAAGGATACTTATACACACACACATTCAGTTTTGCAAATTGGATTAAAGGGTATATATAAGGTGACATGAAAAGTTTTTTTAAAATCCTAAAAATATGAGAATGAATTAGAATTACTTAGGAAATGTTAATTTTCTATTATGTCAAATATAGTTTGTGTCTTAGACCCACCCACTTTGGAAAGCAATCTCCAGCATACTCCTTAAAGGCCAGTTGTATCAATCAGCCCCAAAGAAGTTATTTTCTCAAATAAACAATATCAACAGTTTATTCATCAGATTCAGGTGTGTAATAATCAGAATAAAAAAACTGGTACAGAGTTTGAAAGCTCTTTGCTGCCTGCAGCCAGTAAAATAGAGAAACAGTTGTGGACATCACAATATTGACTGTCAACAATGCACTGATTTGGACTATACTAAGCATTACCAGGAAAATGGAAAAACGAGAAAAACCCCTTTATTACAATCATTGATCAGAAAAACAGGGGGGAAAACAGAAGTGTAAAAACTATACTCACCAATTGAATTCTGAATTGCTTGTGATTTTGGCTCCTTTTCAATTTTACTGGGACTTAAAAGGATGACAGAGAAATGCCTCTTAAATATCTGGTGTTTATAAGATTCATTGAAACAAGAAAAACCTGGTGTTGTGTTAAGTCAGATGTTTGAGATATTTGAACATGTACAATAAAGTATGGCAAAATCCAATAATTTTAGAATCTGAGAGTACCTTAAGGATCATCTCTTCCAACCCCTGGTTTGGCCAAACAATAAAAGAAATACTTCCTGAAAGGGAATTGACTGAGGTGTTCTATCTATAACTCGCTTAAAAACTTTCATCACTTTCTGAACGTTTATTCTATTTATCTAAAGCTGTGTTTAGATAAAAGCCATAATTTTTGTGACTTAAAGCTGTGAAGACTTCAACTCCCAGAGTTCTCCAGCCAGCTGTTATAATGATGAGGCAGTCGAGTTGTTTGATCATGAACAACTGAATTATGATGATGATCTTTATTGGAGTATAGTCTTGCATTTATATACATTTTTAGTTATCCTCCATCATTGGTTAACTTTGGTTACTGCTTAACTTTCGTTACTGTTCAGCACAGTAATCCATACAATTAATTATCTCTAGTTAAAGTCTAACATATGTCTACTTCCCCTCTCTAATCTTCCTTTATCCATAGATTAGTGACTTTGTTTGCTTGGAAAATTCTTTATCTGAGGTTTGCCATCCGATATTGGAACATTCCTGCAATTACAACTCTACAGCCAGCAGCCTGATTGGGGGTTCTGGGAATTGAAGTTCACACAGCTTAAATCATCCCAAATTGAGAAACACTGCTCTAAATCAGGGGTGTCAAACTTGTGGCCCACGGGCCAGATGCATCACCTACATTGGTTATGCCCACTCCCGTTTTAGCGAAGGGGGAGGAAAGTCACGATATGTCATGTGATGACAATGTGATGACACAAGTTTGACACCCCTGATCTAATTGGATAATGGCTAGCTTCCTGAATTAAGCTTTATATTATAACAACCCAGGAGGTTTCAATTTTAGCTCCAGAAGGAGCTGTGGTCCCCTAAAAGAAACTTGTTTGTAATCTGGAAGTGTTGCTGGATTCCCAGTTCCAACTAGACCTGACTACTGTAACTGATGCTACATGGGACTGCCCTTGAAGATCACCTGGAAAGTACAGCTGTGCAACAGCCCACATCCTGATGAGACTGACTCAATTCTCCCAAACAACATCTTTATTTGGGTAGCTTCATTTGTTCCAGGGTGCAATTTAAGGTGCTAAAAATAGCTTTTAAATTTGTATATAGCAGTGGTGCGATTCAGAAACTTTTACTGCTGGTTCTGTGGGCATGGCTTGGTGGGTGTGGCATGGTGTGGTGGGTGTGGCTTGATGGGCATGTCGGGGAAGGTTCCTGCAAAATCCCATTCCCTCCCCACCCCACTAACCTGCTTTCCAGCTCCATTTTCCTGTGCAGGGCAACCAAAAAAGGCCCATCCAATCAGCTGGGACTCGGGAGGCAGAGAAGAGATGGGGGCGGGGCCAGTCAGAGGTGGGATTTGCGGGTTCTCTGAACTACTCAAAATTTCCGCTACCGGTTCTCCAGAACTGGTCAGAACCTGCTGAATACCACCTCCGGTATATGGCTTAGGACCGGTGTAGCTATATGATTCTTGCTTACTCCCAGTAGAATCTACTGGTACTAAATAGAACCTCGTGTCACTCCCATTAAGGTGACCACATCAGGAAATCAACAGGAAGGCTTAAATTATTTTATTGACATTGATTATAATAAGAGGATCTTACGTGTCAAATTGTGCTGTACTTTCTTCCCCTTCTTATGCTCCACTTAATTAGGAAGGTTTCTGCCTGATTCCCTTCTGAATATGATTTATCTGTTGTGGATTTAATGTCTTTTTCACTCCTCATCACTTTGATAATGGAGCTGTCAAGGTCTTCTTTTTTTGGTTCCATGTCATTTTGTTGGCCAGATAGTAAGGATTTCACCCCAGAAGGAGACAACCGCAAACTGTTTCTGCCCAACCTCCCAACACCATGGAAATCAAGGGTACCAGGAAACTGAACTGAATTCAAGGGAGACATTACTTTCTCTTTTTTAAACCTTTACCTGGTTCTCCATGATGGAAGCTTCTCCCGGAAAACAAATATAGTCACCCCCATCGATAGGAGAGCGATAATTCCTATCATGCAACCGGCAATGACTTGGAGCTTAAACTTCTTCTCTTTATCTTTGGAGAGACGTAAAATAGAACGGAGAAAAGAGGTTATTCCAGATCAGTCAAAAAAGTCAAGATGGCAGCCTCCGTCATGTGGTGGAACCCTTACCCACGTTGCCCACGTGTGGGTTTCATAATTAAGACCCAGAAAAAAATTAAAAATTAAAATAGAGATGGCAAAATTAAGCTATTTTAATTTTTTTTAAAAGCACGGGTAATCCTCGACCCCGTTGTTAAGTGAATCTGGCTTCTCCATTGGCTTTGCTTGTTGGAAGGTCACATGACCCTGGGATACTGCAACCGTCATAAATATGAATCATTTGTCAAGTGTCTGAAATTTGATCACGTGACCATGGGGAATGCTGCAACGGTCGTTAAGTGTGAAAAATGGCAATAGGTCACATTTTTCAGGGCCCTTCTAACTTTGAATGGTCACTAAGTGAACTGTTGTAAGCCGAGGAAGGACAACCTAGATTGTGGTTTCAAATAAAGTGAGAGAGGGGATCAACTGTGAAAATCAGCCCTGTGATCCACACAGGATCAAAATTAACTTTGTCTTGGAAAACCACCCTTGTGTTAAATGCCTGAATTGTTAGAACAGGGGTTTTCAAATTCAAGGCCCACAGGCTGGATATCCAGCCCATGGGGCCATCTCAATGTATCCACGTCGCTTCAGCCTGGTCTACCCATTGCAAAGAGGAAAGATTGGGCCAGCGTGGCTTCGGCCCGGTCTGCTCAAAGCAAAGAGGAAACATGCTGGCCACACCCACCCAGCTGGCCAGACCCACCCAGTCGGCCACGCCTGCCCGGCCCCTCCAAGGTCAAACACAGTCCTGATGGAGATCTCAATGGAATTGAGTTTGACACCCCTGTGTTATAAGCTTGCTCCTAACTGAATTCAACTGAGCCATAATCTAGGCCAGGGGTGTCAAACTCAAGGCCGGGGTGTGTGTGGATCCGGCCTGTGAGGTGCTTAGATTTGGCCTGAGAAACCTGGAAACAGTGAAGGACTGGCCCGCAGTACCTCTGCCAGCAAAAACAGAGTCTGGAAATGACAAAGGACTGGCCTGTGGTTCCTCTGGTAGCCAAAATGGGGTTCAGGGAGCCTCCTGGACATTCTCCTACAGCACTCTGCTGGCCAAAATGGGGTGCACAGCCCCCTCATGCCCCATTTTGGCCAGCAGGGTGCTGTATGAGGCGTCCTTCCCGTCTCACCCCACCCCCAACCCCCTCCAGACGGCCCGCAGAGAAGAGCTACATTGCTGATCCAGCCCTCAAAGAAATCCAGTTTGACACCCTTGATCTAGGCAAATGGTAGTTCTGATATGGGCAGGGCATAAATCTGATACTCACAGAATGGTACTGGGGTAGACCAGGGCATTTCCTCCGTCTCCGATCTGTCTGAAATTCTGAATTCCTCTTCCAAGCAATAGCCGTCAGATTGTGTAAGGCATCTGGGACTGCTGCATTTCCAGAGACCATAATTTGGAGGGCTGTCTTCAACTATGATTGCGTTTCTTAGCAATCTTAGCAAAGAACCATGATTAGAAGCAGTTTTCCCGTTAATAGTCCAGATGATGCGAGAGCTTTCATAAGTTTGGCCATCCATGTTGTCAGCACAAGAATTGCAGATCAGTTTTACTGACTGTTTCCTTCTGTGGGATTTCTTTAAAGGGGCAACTGTCATCCCCTGTTGATTATCTGTCAGAAACACCAACATGTTATTCCTTCAAAGATTTGCAACTACAGAGGGAAGGATAAATGTCTATGGAGATTCCTAATCATCCAGGGCATGGTTGTCTCTAAGGTGCTTTTCTAAAAGGCAACTGGATTCCCTTGATTTTTCTTTAAAAAAAAAAAAATCTCACTTCTTATCCGAGAGGCTTCTTCAGTTCTAACTGAAAAAAAAAAGTTAGAAAAAAAGTTAGAACTGAAGAAGCTTCTTGGATGAGAAGCGAAATATTTTTAAAGAAAAAAAAAAACCAAAGGAGTGTTTTGGAAAAGCAACTTTGAAAGAGGCAAGGATATCTTTTGAGAGACATTGGGATCTAAATGAGAGGTTTAAGTGATCAGCTATTACCTGAAAACTGATATATAAGTTACATATAGAATTCCATACAGAATTCTATACTGTAGTTAATAAAATACTCCGAATAAAAGGAGATGGGGAGGTATAGGGAGAATAGTAGAAGGAAATTTCTCTCCTTTTAACAGATAATCAGAGTTGGAAGGGACCTTATAGGTCATCTAGCCCAACCCCAAGCAGGAGACCCTACACCATTTCTGACAAATAGCAGTCCATCCTCTTCTTGAAAGTTTCAAGTGATGATGCTCCCACAGTTTCCAAAGGCAACTTCTGTTCCATTGGTTGATTGTTCTCACTGTCAGAAAGTTTCTCCTTATTTCCAGGTTGAATCTCTCCTTGTTCAGTTTCCATCTGTTATTCCTTGTCTGGCCTTCAAGTGCTTTGGAAAATAGCTTGACCCCTTCCTCTCTGTGGCAGCCCCTCAAATATTGGAAGACTGCTATCCTGTCTCCCCTGGTCCTTCTCTTCACTAGACTAGCCAAGCCCAGTTCCTGTAACCGTTCTTCATATGTTTTAGTCTCCAGTCCCCTAATCATCCTGGTTGCTCTTCTCTGCACTTTTTCAAGAGCCTCAACATCTTTTTTATAATGTGGTGACCAAAACTGGATGCAGAACTCTAGGCTTGCACCTGGCTATCCAGCAAATCAAAATAAATTTTGGAGAATCAGACAGGCAAAAGTTCCTCATCTAATCATGAAGGAATCCATCTGAAGAAATGAGAAATACTAGCAGACTTTATTTTTTTTAATAGGTTAACGGCTATACAAGGTAGGCCTCGAGTTAAAACCCCAACGAAGTCGAAATTTTTCATTGCTAAGCAAGGGAGTTGTTAAGTGAATGTTGTCCCCTTTCACAACCTTACTTGCCATAGTTGTTAAGTGAATCACTGCAGTTGTTAAGCTAATCATTTGTTTGTTAAGTAGGTCTCGCTTCCCTCGTTGATTTTTGCTTGCCTGGGAAGGTCACAAAAGGTGATCATAGGACCCCAGGACAGGGCAACTGTCATAAATACAGGTGTTCTGACTCACGCCCTTTTCCAACAAATCAAACATAATCCAAAGGGAACAGAAAGCTTTTAATGCTTCTGCAAAATAATTAGTTGTGATAAGCACAAGCCTTGCCAAACTGTGCGAGTCTGCCAAACGATAACAGTCAAGAAATAATTTGCAATACAAGAATCTTCAAATACAAACTCAGGATACTGGAATATCCACGAGGCTGGAGTTTCAAAATGTCTTTGCCTTCTGCAAAGAACGTTTGTTTCACAGCTGGCTTTTATCTTCTTGAAGGAGGGGCCATTACCTTGCAGCCTTACTCCCGAGTCACATGTGCTGTTGTAGCTGCTCTTTCCTGCGAGCAATCCTGCGTGCACACGCACTTGGCACAGGATCCTCGAGAACCTCCTCATCGCTGCTATCAGCCCCCACAATTTCTGAAGGCAGCAGTCCACTCCCTGATGGTCCTGGCCCCTCATCTGAGTCCTCGCTCTCCTCAGCCTGCTGCCAGCTAACCACAACAACGCCAGTTTCCAAGCGTTTGAATTTTGATCATGTGATCATGGAGATGCTGCAAACCCTTATAAGTGTAAAAAACGGTTGTCACATTTTTCAGGGATGTTGTAACTTTAAATAGTCACTAAATGAATCGAGGCTTACCTGTATCATTAATAACATTTAAAGAGAACCCTTTTGATTTGGGAACTATGCTCTCTGTCAATCAGATGCAGGGGATGAAACCATGGTCAACATGTCTTTGCTTTCCTGTCAAAGACAGGTGCAGGGGGGTGCTGGAGATCATCTAGACTTAGCTCAGTAAAATCTATGAAATGCTATATACCAAACAAATGGCCAAGTTGTCTTTGTTTAAGCCTCCAGTGAATGGAAACCTACCTGTGCTTTTCTGTTATCAAACAATAGATTTGGAATATTTATTTGGATGTGTTCCTCCCAGGTTTCTTTTTTCTCTACTGTATTTAATTAGATTTTTTTTTAACCTTGCCTTTATTATTTTTATAAATAACTCAAGGCAGTGAATATACCTAATCCTTCCTTCCTCCTTCTTTTTTCCCCACAATTACAATCCTGTGAGGTGAGTTGGGCTGAGAAAGAGTGACTGGTCCAAAGTCACCCAGCTGGTTTTCTTGACTAAGGTGGGACTAGAACTCACAGTCTCCTGGTTTCTATTCTGGTGCTTTAATCACTAGACCATTCGCTGATTCGAGCTTGTTCTTCCAGTGCAGCAAAGAAGAAATCTGGCCTACCCTCTAAAGGTAGCCTTTCATATATTTGAAGTCCTTTATCATCCATCCAAACATCCATCCATCCATCCATCCATCCACCGACTGATCAATCGATTGATCGATTTATTGACATATATATACAGTTTTTGTTCAGTCACACATGCATAATGTCGGCTGGCTAGGAAATTCTGGGAGTTGAGGTTCACACAACTTAAAGTTGACAAGTCTAAAAAGTACTGGTCTAAAATTATGAGTTTGGATCATTCAAACCAGTGGTGGGATTCAAAAGATTTTACTACCAGTTCTGTGGGTGTGGCTTGGTGGGCGTGGCAGGGGAAGGATACTGCGAAATCCCCATTCCCTCCCCACCCCACTAACCTGTTTTCCAGCTCCGTTCTCCTGTGCAGGGCAACAAAAGAAGACCCAGCCAATCAGCTGGGACTCGGGAGACAGATAATAAATGGGGGCGGGGCCAGTCAGAGGTGGGATTTGCCGGTTCTCCGAACTACTCAAAATGTCTGCTAACGGTTCTCCAGAACGGGTTAGAACCTGCAAAATACCACCCCTGATTCAAACCCAGGGTGTGTATTAAGGCCCATGCACTGACATTCCTTCAAGCCAACAGCTGGCTAGGCCATACAAATGTGTGGAAGCCTTCTGGAAGATGTCAGAGCCATTTTCAAACAGCCTGCTGCCATTTCCACCCATCATTTGGTGCCACGAGGATATTCAATATCTACTTCCCAAAGCCCTAAAATGTGCCCCCCCCTTTTTTTTAATTACCAGATTTCACCATGACTGAGAGAAAGGATGAGTTTCTTCTTCCATCAAAACAATAGAAAGTGCCAGAGTCATTCATGTGTTGGAACGGGATAGTGAGAAAGAACTTTCCATTATTTTTTTCTACCGTCATCCTTTGAAATCTCTTCAGCTTTTCATTAATGTGCGTCGTGTTAGAAATTACACTGCAGATTTGTATCCGGACCATTTTTAGGCCTGCACAGATGGGGTAACGGGGAATCCAGTACCATTCGAGTTGGACGCCTGTCAGGTCGCATGGAATTTTAATCTCACCTCCAGCATCGACCTCCCTCTCTGAAATTATAAAAAATGTTAACTAAATATTATTTACGCACATTCACACCCTCCACACAAAGCCAGCCCCAAATGCCCAAATCACGATGTTTCTGTGAATCTGGGGCATTGCAGCAGGGGAGGGAGGGGATGCCAAAACATATATGAACATTGGTGTGAGGGAGGGGGGCAGTTCAGCACCATTTTCTGGGGATGAGCAGCCTACGCCGGGCCTGATAGGGAAGGAAGCAATAGGAGTTAAGCCTCCATCGATCAACAGGTCTGAAGTAAAAACAATAGAGCTAATCACAGATGGGAGGCGGGTGGATGGGCCTATTACGGGCGCAATGGCTAAATTGATCCATGATGCATAAAGGCGAATATCTCTTCAATGGTAGTTTTCACACTCTGACGATGTTAGCAGAGGCTAATGAAAGCTAAGTGGATAATATAGTTTAAGTTCCAGAGATTGTGATGTCTGTCTCTTTTATGTGTGTGTGAGTGTGTGTGTGTGAGTGTAAAAGAAGAAACAGACATCCTGCGATTTCTGGAATTTAAAATTACATGCAATGTACTTACTAAGCTTTTGTCAGCCTCTGCTGACATCGTCAGAGTATTAAGGTACCATTACAGAGATCTTTGCCTTTATATATCATTAATTAATTTAGCCCTTCCACGCGTAATAGGCCCTCTCAACTGCCTCCCATCCGTAATTAGCTCTGTTGTTTTTGCTTTCGTCATGTTGGTTAAATGGTAGCTTTATATATATATATATGTGTGTGTGTGTGTGTGTGTGTGTGTGTGTGTGTGTGTATCTTTGGTTATTCGCGTTTTCTCCTGCGTAAAATTGGAAGTATCTAGGCAACGTTTCGATGAAGTCTCATTCATCATCTCTGAGAAGCACAGAGCCGAAGACACAAGCCTGAAGATGATGAATGAGACTTCATCGAAACGTTGCCTAGATACTTGCAATCTTACGCGGGAGAAAACCCGAATAACCAAAGATCCACATACAAATACCCGCGAGAACCTCAGAAAACAAATGTGTGTGTGTGTGTGTGTGTGTGTGTACATACAAGAAATATGTTTTCTTTGTGCTAGGAATCACAACATTTGTGCAAGATGCCAGTTGCTCTATGGTTTTCAGTCTATCTCAGCCATGGACCCAATTGATTTACCGTAATTTATTTAGAACAATTTAACTTTATATTTTATCAAAACTTTTAACATTTTAAAAAATATTAAATTAATAATTTAATGAGCCATTCTGACCAGATCAAGATTGACTTAGCCTTCCATCTTTCCGAGGACAATAAAATGAGGACCCAGATTATTGGGGGCAATATGCTGACGCTGCTTAGTGAGGGCTT